TTTTGCGAAATGTCAAAATATTCGACTTGGATTTTTTTATTAAAAACTTACTAAAAAGTGTAAATACAGAATAAAAGTTGTAGATCTTTTAATCATCTTCAATTTTTCCATTGATTCATGAGTCATTCTGATTATCGTGATGAATGATTGTAACTATAACTTTTTACAGAGTTGTCCGATTTTGATAATTATTTTTTTATTGAGGCTTTTGATTGCGTTTTTCATGAAACATTGATCAGGTACTTCACCACTATGGATTTAGAGATACCACTCTGGATCTTACTGTATCTTATTTGAGTGATAGGGTTCAGAGGGTTGAAATTAATGGAGTAAACTCTCCTGGTTCGTCGGGTAAGATGGGAGTTCCGCAGGGCTCAATCCTTGGTCCATTCTTATTTTTAATTTATATCAATGACTTGCCCTATTTTGTAAAGGATAACCACGAAATAGTATTGTTTGCGGATGACACTTCACTTTTGTTTAAAATTAAACGTAGGCAGTCACAAATTGACGACGTGAACAGGTCTATTTCGAAGGTAGTCCACTGGTTCAATGTTAATAATTTGATTCTAAATGAAGGGAAAACTAAGTGTTTGAAATTTGTATTACCAAATGTCAAACAGGTAAAAACTAATGTAAATATAAAGGATCGACATATGAGCCCTGTAGATACCACAGTGTTCATAGGAATCACACTACATTCTAAGCTGCAGTGGGGCCCACATATTGATGGATTGTCGAAGAGACTTAGTTCTGCAGCATATGCTGTAATGAAAATACGGCAGTTAACGGATATAGAAACTGACAGATTAGTCTACTTTAGTTATTTTCATAGTGTAATGTCTTACGGTATTTTACTCTGGGGAAATGCCGCCGACATTCAAACTATATTTGTGCTGCAGAGGAGGGCTATTCGATCAATTTATAATCTTAAAGTTAAGGATTCATTAAGAGATAAGATAAGTTTAAAGAAATAGGCATATTGACAGTTGCATCACAATGCATACATGACAACTTAGTGTTTGTAAAAAAAAAATATTAATATTTACTAAAAATAGTGAAAAACGTACACATAATACTAGAAATAAAAATAACTTAACTCTGCTACTAGGCTCCACAAAATCAATAATTCGTTTAGAGGTCTCTGTGTTCGCTTTTACAATAAAGTTCCAAGCAATATTCAAGAGTTAAGCATGACTAAATTTAAATCAATCATTAAAAAATCACTTCTTAAGAAAGGATATTATAAAGTGTCTGATTATATTACAGACAAAAATGCTTGGGTATGAACTGTTCCAACCATTCCAACGGGTATTTCTATATGATTTAAATTATGAATTATGTGTTGACAATACTATAATTAAATTTGAAAGCTGTATATAAAGTTGATAACTTAAGGAAGATTATCAGACTGTTTAAGAATATTTGATTGACAAAACGGCGTGGTCGTGATTTCTCCATTGCTTTGTTTTTGTAATTGTTTGTGGTGTCCTACTGGTAAATGACCTTAATTTAAGTAAATATGTTGTAGTTAGTATGGGTAGTTATGGATGCTCTCTTAATAGTCTCTTCGGCGGTGCCAGCGGAGATGAGTCTGCCCTAACTTCCTTAATATTGAAGTTATTGTTTAATGACACTTAATATAAATAACACTATTTGTATTTATACTGTATGACACAGCAATCAAAATGCAGGTAAACAATTAATGTATATTTAATAATTATGTAATGAAAGGTGACTTCATGAATCATCTCTGAAGTCATTTTTCAATTTGACGACTCTGTAAATAATAAAACAGGGAGAAAAAAACAGCCCTTGCTGAGTTTCTTGCAACTTCTCAGTACAAGGTCTCCCGCCGTAGATTTACGAACCGATGGCGTAGCTTCTAGACATTCATGAATGCTTGTAACAGCCTAAACTGAATAAATGATTTTGATTATGATTATTAATGGAAAGGGAGGAATACCCCTTTTTTTATCTAAGTGGTAAATCTCGCGACAACCTATATAAATTGTTTTTTTTTATTATTATTTTTAGCGCATTTAAATAAAAGCTTGTTTTAAAAAGTTTTATACTTTTAATTTATTTTTTAGTTATCGCTGGACTCAATCGAGGTCTTCAAAACCCTCATTTTGTAGGAGTTCGTCAAAAATAATAATTAGTCCGCCATATTGGATTTATAATGACCTCGCATAGCTAACCATGCATTGTCATCCAAACTTAATGTGTGTATCAGCTCAATCTGAATAGAATATACCTCTGATAATATAGCTGAATAATAAGATATCTGCTTCAAAATTGAGTTACAAGATTCCACCTTAAATAAAAGCTTTTATGGGCAAATGTAAATTTTATTTGAAAAATTCTTTTAACAGCGATTCATATTATTAACGTTAAGTAGAAAAGAGTGCAGAAGAAATTATTAAAAAAATGAAAATAACTATAGTCTAACTCTACTACTACCTGCCTCTTTTCTTTTACTCGTCCATAAACCTTGCATTACCTATATATTTTATATGTATATATATATGTATAGCCATATCTATGATAGTGAGTAGGTTTACACTTGTACACATGGCTAGATTTAAGACGGGGCTATGGCCCAGGGGCCCAGATAAAAAAAGGTCCAGATTTACGGGTCTACTCTACTTTGTTGCCCCAGGGCCTCCTCACCTTTAAGTCCGGCCCTACTAGTTCATAGTTAGTAAGAAAAAACTTAAAGTAGGTACGTAACCTCAGCGTTCGCTCATGAAATAAGTATTCCCTTTCTCACCATTACACTAACGTCGAAACATTTAGTAAAAGTTTTATTAACGCTTGAACGGAAGTCGTGATACCATTTAACGTTTTTGCTCACAATTACCTTCTATGCGTAACCTCGATTAAAATAGGTAGTAGATTGGTTGGATAGTCATCCATCATCAAAACTTGTTATTAAAAACAATATTAAAAATTTCGCGTAAAACACTAAGCTTAGAATAGCCGTTAGAGTTACCTAGTTTAACGTATCCCATTTATATATTGGCATCAACTTATGAAATTGACTTTTGAATTTGTTAATTAAATAAGTAAAGTTCAAAGATTTCAACTTATAAGGTACTTATAGATTTATTACTTAGTCGTAAGTAGGCTTAGTTTTATAAGGAATAAGGACATTTTATAGCTGTTTGGTATAGAGAAACCTAATTTGGAAGTTCGTGGCGATATTACCTTGTTATTTGTTATGAGAGGAGTGGAGTGGCACCAGCATTTACATAATTGGAGGTCGACGCTAGAACCGGTTCAGTGCTTCGGAACAGGCGATGACGTCACCGTCATCATCGCTGACATCATAAATATCTCAGTATAGAGGTAACAATACTCAAATACAAACATGAAGAAAGTACATAGTTACTATTACATACTTTATAAATATTTCGATGAAACTAAGTGTAAATAAAATTGGACAATTAGGTCAGACGCCGCATATACCGCACCCACTGCTACTCTACCCTACCCATACCGATCGTCCAATATTCCACCATTTACCAACATTTTACCCACTCCCGCCGCCTCCTGCCCTATTTCTCAGTCACGCTCACGAAACGAACATAGTATATCTAGTATATTTATGAGTAACGTTCAATTAAGTTTAACGTTCCTATGGCTATGATCGAAACCATTTTATCGTTTGATTATTCCAGCTTATTATGCAACATCTACGCCCACATTTTTAAGGAAAACTTTGATTTTAATAAATCTGATTCTGAAAGTTGTGCACAGGTTGTGCAGGTGCAAACATCATTAAAAGCGGCGAAAGTATTCGAAAATTAACGAGATGATTCATGACTGACGCGGATTAAGAGCCATTTGCGTAATTAAAAGATTTTTGAGAATATTATTTCTTATTAATTGACTCCAAGTGGGTGCAACTGTAACTCTAAGTCCTGGGTTCGATTCTAATAGTAGACGCATATTTTTCTTACTTAATATAAAACAATATTAAATGAATTGATCTTTAGACCTGTTCTAAAAGCGTTTTATTAAACAAATAAATTATTTGTCTTCATTACATAAGCTAATATAATATTCCTTATAAACATGTTGCTTGTAAACATGTATTATATTAGGTTAGCTATTACATGTACATTAGTACCAGTTTGGCTTGGTTTGGGGGGCTAAATATAAAGAACAAGTTATTATAAAAAAACTTTTTGAAATTGGATGTTGCTTACAATAAATAAACACAAATGCCACTAATTGGAAAGTGGCGTAATAAATACGTTAGTTTTTAGGGTTCCGAACCTAAAGGGTAAAAACGGAATCCTGTTGCTGTAACTTTGTCGTCTGTCTGTGTATCTGTCTGTCCGTATGTTTCGGGTCACTAGATCGACCTCTAGAGTGCTTGCCCAAAGCCGAATATTGAGACGAAAATTCATTTAATTATTTTTCATGGGGTCATACAAAAGACATTCATTCATCATTTCATTAAAAAGACAGATTTTTTTTTCCTTTTCACTCCAGTATGTGACACATCATTGTCTAAGACCATAATTATCTACCTCACTCGTTGAATAAAATAGTATTTTTTTATAGCAAAGAAATGGGAAGCCGTGAAAGTTGTCATTTTTGTAATCACAAAATCGAAACTAGTTAAGAATATGTTTTTTTTTGCATATGATGTTTCATATACTGTACATAAACAATAAATACTGATAACACCAATTCATAATTAACTCTGTATGATGCGACAAAAACAAACAGATGATTTTAAGGAACCCTAATAGAGCGACGCTGCACTCGCGCTTGGCCAGTTTTTATTGTTTTTTAAAAAAAAAACAAAAAAACGTAGAAAATATTATATTTTTATTATTTGTAATTTTTTTATTACCTATAGAAAAATATTATGTATTTTATTTTTCGGAAAACTTAAAAGTATTACTTTAAAGTATAGTTTTAAACTTAAAACTAAAAACAAGAAAAGTAAATAGATAAAAGAAAAAATAATTTATAAAACATACCATCCAGATAAATAAATGTCCACTTTTAAATATTTCACTTATTCCACAAACGTTTTCAACAATAAATACACAATTTTTTATTAATATTTACTAACTTTTTAAACTTTTCCCTCTCACGCTTCTCACAGTACAGTACACGCCGCATTCGCGGTATAAACTAAATTATTTTACCGTTCGTTTCCGTTCATCCAACAAACGATCCACGCGCGTGGTGGTTGCGTGCGTATCGACGAATCTAAACTATCTATCGCAAGCTGCAAACAAACAACAGTCCGTTTAGTTCATCGATTATGTATTATTCATATTTTTAGGCTGTAGGTACGCCTATACCTTTAATTAATAAATACAATTCAAGTTTTCATTGCCTTGAATCCAATTGTTGCTATTTCAATTCAAACGGTTCCCTTTATTTCAACTGCTTTAACCAAATGCAACGATAATTTTCAAAATACGCGCCAATCTAATAAAAATATATCTCTTAAAGAAATATAGTCTATGGAAAAATGATTTGTTGCTCACAAGGAGGCAGAGGATAATTAGTACATAGCCTATTTTAGCCTATGTTCTTGTCATGAAATGAGCTTGATTCCTCTTGATTATGGTGTCGATTCTGGCATGATTCTCTAAACATAAACTTAAATTTGACAACAGTGGTATCGATTCTGGTATGATTCTATAAAGCTAAACTTAAATTTAACAACAGTGGTGTCGATTCTAGCATGAATCTCTAAACCTAAACTTAAATTTGACAGCAGTATATCCTTGTCAATCTCTATACAGAATGAAAAGGAAAGACTGATGTTAAATTTAGTTTTAAGTTTAGAGAATCACGCCAGAATTGGGCCCAGTGTATCCTTGTCGTTCTCTACACAGAATGAAAAGGAGAGACTGATGTTAAATTTAGTTTTAAGTTTAGAGAATCATGCTAGAATTGACACCAGTGTATCCTTGTCACGCTCTATACAGAATGAAAAGGAGAGACGGATGTCAAATTTAGTTTTAAGTTTAGAGAATCATGGCAGAATCGTCATCTATATAATTTATAAATTGATTGGTAACAATGGACTGTAAAACTATATGAAACTAATGCAAATAATCGAAGTAATGGGTAATTTAATTTAAATCAAACGAGTGAACTTGAGATAATCACAAACAACTATATTATTTTTTTAAGAAACTTACGAAACAATGAAATATAAAATATGTACAAAAAGTTTCTATAAAAATACAGTAAATAGTTCACAACATTGAGTTTGATAACACTGTGTCCTTTTAATACTGCAAAGAGTATAACACTGATTTCAATATTGAATTTGAAGATTTATGTCACAATCACTCTAACCACTATTCTAATCACTTTTGTCCAAAAATGAAGATCCTTTAATTATATATGATTTAATAAAACCTCAATGGCTTCAACATAATTCAAACTTAAAAGCAATATGAAGATTTGAGAATAAAATTGGTTCTGACTTTATAAATACACAACTGTTTTTCTCCTTAATATAGGAAGAATAAAAACAAAGTGTTTTTTGGCGGGATTTCATCAAGTGCGGTTGGCGCCTTATTTTAATTATTCTTAAATTCGTTCATAGTGGATATTGTGAAATAAAATTGGTGTGATTTTGTGTTACAACCGTCCGCGCAACTGAAGAATTAGTAGAATCTTTAAAATATTCCCTATTCCGGTCAAGTGGACGTGAGAATTTTATTGTAGTGTTGACTACCTCAGGCTTACCGGAAAAGCCAACTCGATACATTTCGTGCCAAATACTCCAAGAAACATTGGAATGAATCACACCGACATTCTAATGTAAAAAAACGAAGATTAATATACAGTTTGTCTAAAAAGTCGTGACATTAAATGATGGCGCCACTAGTATGCATGTAGCAACCCTATACAGTCTGACCAAAATGATTTTGATACTAGCAGTTCATTCAAGTAAAATAGGTAATTACTAAGACACACTATACAGTCGTATTTTGTTTCTGTTTTATATATAGTATGTACCTATGCTTATAAAAAGTTTAGCCAAGCATATTTAATAGAATCAGAATAAAATTATTATAGATAAAATAGTACTTTATAGTGTAAAAGTGTGAATGTTGGTGATTACCGCTGAGGTGTCATTGAGACCAGAGCCGTAAGGTAATCATCAATACACACAAGTATCATCATACGACGTTTTTTAACACACTTGTTAAGAAAATAATACTAAAAATCATTTTATAGTATATAAAAAGTTTATTTAGAGAAACAGTTTGTAAATGTGCAGTTAGTAAAATTAGTGATAGGTATCTTCATTAAAAGCATCTAGCCATGGTTCTTTATGTGACCATTTCTTTCTTTGGTCGGCCATGCCTGTTTTCCCAGGAGTTACAAACTTTCCATCATTCTTAAAACCGTCGTTGACTATCCGACTCTCTGATTTTCCTGAAGAAAGGTAAATAAATATGTAACGGAATAGAAACAATAACTTATTGACATGAAGCAATTAATTCAAAATTGGTAGAAAACCTGACCGAGTTGAACTATAATAACGTATCAAAAGAACTGGTCGTACTACAATATTACCTACTTACAATGTCAATCTAACCTAAAAATGTGCAATGTAAACAATGCCTTTTTTGGTCCTAAAATCGTAAATTGAGTAAATTTGTAACTTCAGGCAGATTACAAACAAATAGTTATACGATTACATACCCGTCATACATGCTGTTTGCCCATAAATAGGGTTGCATCCCTATTTATGGGCAAACAGTCTTTTGAAATATCGATATTTATATCGAAGTCAGGAAAATATCGATATCCGATATATCGACGATTGTAACTCGATATTATTGATATTTCGATATTTTTTTGCTTTTTTGCTTTGTATTAAGTTTGCAAAGCAAAAACCTAAAATTAAGGAAGCAAAGGTTTCCAAAATATCGATATTTATAATGTGGGCAGGTAAATATCGATATCCGATCCGATATATCAGTCATTCCAACATTTCCAACACGATGTTTATAGATATTTTCTATATGTTTATAGTGCTGTAAGAAGTATCAAATCAAAAGCAATTTCGAATTAAAGATATTTATTTTGTTTAAAATGTTAAAACATCAGGGGCGTGCCCATGGCTTCAGAAAGGGTAAGCCCAAAGCTTTCAAAATTACTATACCTATCATACTTTCTTGACTTGGCGAGCTTAAAAAAATTACGATTTGTATAAGATTCTTAATTTTATTTTGTGTTATATTACAATGATATTAAATTTCAATTAATCAGTAGTTGACAATTATCTAGAAAGAGAGGCAAGGATTTTATTTAAGTACATGAGTTACCATTAGGTTTATACGTTGGTGTCCATTCTGGCATGATTATCTAAACTTAAAACTAAATTTAACATCATTCTCTCCTTTTCATTCTGTATAGAGAATGACAAGGATACACTGTTGTCAAATTTAATTTAAGGTTTAGAGAATCATGCCAGAATCCACACCAGTTTAGTATATTTCTTGGGGTTCAAGATTTTTTTAATACATCTATAAGCTTTTGCGATTTCAAAGTAATAGTTATTTCGATATTATTCAATTTAGATAGTCATAGCAGGTAAATTAATTGATATTATTGTGTTCAAAGTTAGTCTACGAAATATCGATATTTTTAAATTTCCGATATCGATATTATCGATATCAGTGAATTTTAAATATCGATATAAATATCGATATTTTGGTCTCGATAATATCGATATTCCGATATATCGTTGCAACCCTACCCATAAACATCATCCAAATCCCACAAAATTCGTCTAGCTTGGTAGTCATCGAAACATCGCTGGAAAACTTTAAAAATCACTTCCCGCGTGCCACTCCGATTTACTTTACTCATTTTTATACTTTTCTGCGTAGTTTCTTCTTAATTAATTACAGTTGAATCCAAACAATAAAAAATACAAAAGGAAAACTGTTCCACAACTGAAACTTGATGACAGCTGATGTACATAAGTTTGGTGCTGCCAGACACATGAATAATGTTAGTTCCTGAAATGTCATGTCACGACTTTATGACAAACTGTAACTAAAACTTGGCTGTATGGGCATTGTTTCATCTGCCTTCCTTCAAAAGTATCTTAAAAAAAAAGTCGACAAGAAGGTTACGTTCCGTACTCACACTCGGGGGCACCTCACAACTAGTGTCCGACCGAAATTTCGGTTTCGGTTTCGGTTTCGGCCAGTTTCGGCCAAAAAATCAAGTTTCGGCCCGAGTTTCGGTTTCGGCCAAAAACGGCCGAACCTTTCGGCCACGCCGAAACTTACAACATCGTACCTTCGGGTCGCGCTCGGCTAACGTCGGGCGCGCTCGGCACGGCTGGCAATATGACGTCGATCGCCTGACTCCGCCGGCAACTACCTAAATCAGTGCGCTTTGCTCGTGTAGACGTTATATTATTTTTAATTAGATAATTTGTTATAAAAAATAAAAAGTATAAGTATAGATTTGTTACTATAAAAGGTTAAAGGCTAAAATGATTACCAAAGGTGATCAATTTGATTATTTTGATTATCTAAATACCTATATTTGAATTAGCCATTTGAGGCTAACTGATTGTGATATTTGTGAGTATAATTAAAATGTAAGTAACTGAAAATAAATAAACATATATGAGCATCATATTTTAAGGAGATTGTTCAAATTAGCCCAAATGTACAAACAATATTGTTTTAAAGTCATTAGATTTTAACGGACACTTTTGTATAATATATTCATTTTAAAAAGGACTTTTAATTTTACCGGTTTGGAAAACATACGAATAATTTTTAATGGCTATGGGTGTAGTAACATTCAGCCAAAGACAGATCGAAGTTGTTTATATAACATCAAAACAAATATATTTTGTAAAGATGGATAAAATATTTTTTTTTTTATTACACTGTGGTATTAATATCCACAATTATATTATCATTTTCTCTACATGAAAATGTGCTAAGACAATTATTATAGATGGTAAGCGACATCATAAAGTCTATTGCCATACATTTTTGCCAAACACCTCCATAAACACATTATAAGGTGTGATACACCAAAAATCTAAAATATGGTTATAATATAAACATAACAAAAATAATGACGCAACTGAAGATGTAGCTGTAACCTAAATCTCTTAGCTTTCTTTGGTTAACGAGAGTTTAAAAATTCTCTCTAATCTGTGGCTCATTCACAATCATCACACAGTTTCTGTCACAGAGTTATTATAACCGGATATGCATAGATGATACCTGATTTTAAAAGTAACTCTTGTGCATTAACTAAAAACAGGCAACTATCTTTTAATCTACATGCTTTATGTACCTGAATCTAATACATAATTTCTGTACTTGGCTTGATTTCCCTAGCTTACTATATAACTTATTTGTTTTTTATTATTTTAATCAAAATCCTCAAAATCATTTAGTGTATATGGTTTGTAGAAGTTCTCGGGGGTGGCCGTCAATAATATTCGTTGCTACAGTAATTTATATATAATTTCGAATCTAGGAAACATTTTTTTATGATTATTGGTCTTTAGGCCAAACATGTATGGAAGCTGAGCAATCTCCTTTGTTTTATTTTATACCACCATCAAAAATCGCTAACTTTGTGTTACAAGTAATGTATTTTTTTCACTTTATAGGGTAGTTAAATTTTCAAACAGAACCTTTGTAACTGTGCTGAAATTTCATTGTGATAAATCTTTGAAAGTAGAAACCTGTAATTATAGCTCGGCGAGACATTAATTTTAGAAAAAAAACGGGCTTACTAACATTTTTTCGACTTTTTTTTTTATAAAAGGTTCGGTTTCGGTTTCGGTTTCGGCCGAAACTACAATGAAACCGAACCTTCGGTTTCGGTTTCGGTTTCGGCAAAATAACATGTTTCGGTCGGTCACTACTCACAACACATCTGTCAACTATTCCCATAACTTTTATACAGAACGGAACGCAGCCCAACTTGTAAAAGTCAATTTACGATTTATGGTTGCTAACTCGCTAGCTAGCTTTGCCGAATAAAAAAGGAAAAAGCAAAATTGCGAGGATTTAAAAACATTTTTGGTGGATTTTAGTGTGAAACTAATCGCAAAAGTCATATTGGACAACTATTTTACTACAATGCTACAGAACAATTTTATTATTCTGAAGACTTTGAAATTTTCTCTGTTTTTTTTCTGATTATTTGATATTTAATAAAAGTTTCATGTTATGGCTCCAGTAAACAAAGATAGACATCCAAATCATACGGGTACTATACCTAAAACAAAAGCTAGAAACAATTGTAATGTGCCGCAGGAAGCTGTAACTCCTACGAGAAGAGACATGACGAACAATCTGGTATCGGTAAGGTTTCATTGTTTTTAGTGTGATGTAAATGTGAAGACGGAATGGTGCCTTTTTATGCAAATTTTTATAATCCGTAGAATTCCAATCTCCAATTATATGTAGCCTTTCTTTCATGAAATTTTATTCTGTAACTAAATAATAAACATTAATACAAAGGAATTATATTGGTGTGAAAGCACTGTTTGTTATATTATGCTAAAAATCATAAAAAACTTAAATGTGTCCATTCAATGCTTAATCTATGCTGTTTACTTACAATATAGTGAAGTTTCTTAGAGATGCTGAACTCTTTCTATTTTTAGACAGAACACGGGAGAGAAAATAAAACTTGGCTGTTTTCCAAGTGTGTTATTTAGAGATAGATAGTTCTGATTTACAGAATTGTTCCCACCAATATATTTGATAAAATTCTTATCTTTGTGTATGTGCATTTAAATATCCTTATTATTGACTTTTATTATTTATTAATCCTTATGGGTGGTTGTTTGTCTAAATTAAACTTTAAAAAGGTGTGTTTGGGTTGAATTGGCAAGCACTAAATTGTAATATTTATGTCATGCGAAGATGAACTTATCATTAAGAGCTTATACAGAAAGTGCATTGGTTTTAGACTTCCTTGGATTGGGTGCCAGTTTCAGAGTACAATTCAAGGCCTAATTACAATAAATCTAGAAAACCATCAAATAATACATCTGACCATGAGCTAACCGATTTAGGTGAGTAATTTCTGTAGCACATGTTTAGTAATTTAATTATCATAGATTTCTTATTTATACATCTTTTAACATATTATTGATAATGGTTCAGTGTGTAGTTTAATGATTTTTTTATTATAATTATTTTAGTATTTTTCTAATTTTTACACTGACTGGAAATTCAATACTATCTGTTACAGATAATTCTGTATCATTTGAGAGTGGATTTGGGAGATTCGTGCCAGTGAGGCCTCAGCCAAGAGCTCTGCCACTGAATGTGCAGAATCGTGAAAACATAGGAAGTGACCATCACGACGATCCCAGTGGATCTTCTATCAGTGGACACACATTACATCCTTATGCACATCAAATGCAAAATGGTAAAAATACAAGTTATTGTGTCAGAGGATAAATTTGAAATTAGACTGCTTTGAATATACAAGCTCTAACTCCAGGAATCATTCATGTTTCTATTTCTGTATTATTCAAATTATTCATTAAATAATAAAGTGCTATAATAGTTAAATATATAAAAACAAGTCAAAAATAAAACCAGCTTGTTTTACAGGCTTAATTCCACATTCCAATCATGCTGCAGCAGCTGTGATGATAGTCAACCCAACAACACCTAATGCTGTTACTGGAAACATAGCACAACCATTTAATGTAAGTATCATAAAATTCCATAACTTTTGAGACAATGGTGCCAATTCTGGCGTGATTCTCTAAACTTAAAACTAAATTTAACATCAGTCTCTCCTTTTCATTCTGTATAGAGAATGAAAAGGATATACCACTGTCAAATTTAAGTTTAGGTTTAGAGAATCATGCTAAAATCGACACCATTCAATTATACCTTACTGAAGTACATCAAAATTTTCTTGTAAATGAATCTTTAGAAAGGCTGAGATTAATATAAATTTCTAACGTAAATTGGTATACCCATTTATTTATTCTTTATTACCATAAAAACAGTAAATGGTAGACTTAATGCCTAAAGCATTTTGTACCAGTTACCAATAAGGGTTAATATATATGTTACGTTTTACATTTTAGACACCAAACCAAAATAGAAACAATTTGTCACGGAATTTGAATTCTTCTCGCAACAATTTCGAAGGCAATACCATCACAAGCAATAATAATTCTACACCACCAATAACTAATTCTCGAACTGGCACTAAAACCGTCAACTTAATGAACAACATGTATGATCAAGGGCAAGGCAGCTTCAACAATCTCAATGATAGTAATTCTGTAAGTATAATATTGTTTACTATGGAATTTGAAGTGAAAAATAGAAAGAAAAATATTTTCAATATTTGTATTGATTTTCACTGTAGATACACAGGGAATCTGCAAGAGCTTTAGGAGAAGCTATAGTGGCAGCATGCCCTGACGCGGCTGCAGTGGAACGAAGACTGGGACAAATTCGAGAATACATAAGAGTTACGTCATCCCTTGTTGACACTATGAGAAATTCAGAAGATGAGGTTAGTTAAAAATTATACATTATTTTATTTATTTTCTTTATCATATCTCCAACTTAGACCTGTTTGATTTTCATTTTCAATTTAGGCTTTTATTGAGCACACTAAGGAAGAATATGATGAACTGGTAGAGATGGTAATGAAATTAAAAGAGAGTGAAACTAAATTAGAAACTATGCTGGACAAAATGAAACCTGAAAATGAAGAAGTTCCAGCAGCAGACCTGAATGACATGCCAGTAGAACAAATGGAAGTCACTACTCCTAACCTAACTGAAAATGTTGAAAGCACACCAGAATCAGTTTTGTTAAATGAAAAATGTTGCCATGTCAAAAGTATAAATGACAAAACTTCTGCCAATAGCCTGAAGAAAGTTACTAATATAGAAAATGAACAAATTAACAAAAATTTGTACAATATTAAAGGTTGTGAAGAATCACACATTAATACAAATGCAACTAATCAGATTGTACAGGCTAATCCAGAAACATCACAAAATACTATACTAGATATTGAAAAAGATGATTCTCATTTGGATTCTCAAGATAAAATTGAAATAATAGAGATTGAATCAACTCCATACAATGAATCTCCAATCAAGAAGGATGACAAACATTTAAATGACATTTTACGAAAAAACATACTGTCTTGTGTTGAAAAAGTAGCACTTATTGAAGAAATAAAAAATAAACAATCTTATAATATGCCTGAACAGGTTTCTGTCTATTGATGTGTGCTGTTGTTACAAGTGTGGCCCTTTTATGAATTGAACATTTCATAGCATGATCTAGAGTACATTCATAACTATCTCTAATTCTTCCAGTCGGCAAATTTTAAAGATGAATTTCGATTGGCTTTGGTGTTTAACAAATAGGTTTTTTATATTGTACAATGCATTATGTGTCCTTCATACTACTTCTACAACTGATCTACTAATATTACCAGTGTTGAATTTTAGTCCAATAATTTGTGTTTTGTGCTTTACTGTTTAATTCTATTTAAGAATCCATTCATTATAAATATCTATGAATAATTTAAAATAGGTAGCTGTATTTTATTAAAAAATAAATACTTCTATTACAGCAGGATCTAGTGACAAGACCAGTTTCAGTACAGAGCAATGGGTCTATATATAGTGATAATGAACTTTGGCCTAATGAATATAAAAGTAAAATAGAATTATCACAAATGCGTATGGCTGCACTTAAACAGCAAGAGAAAAGGCTTCTTAAATATCAAGTAAGTGTTTATCACATAAATTCTAAAATATGATTCAATAGTTCTATTTTATTAGTTTAAGCATTGATTTGCTTTTAAAAGGTTTTTTTTGGTAAATTTCAATAAAGTATCTTATAACAATGTGCTATGTTCTGGTGTACATTTGCTGTTAACCAGCACTAACTACCATACTCGGAGACAAGTAAAATAGTGATTAGGTTATTATATTTTTAAGCATTTGACTAGTAGTTTTATTAATTATTTTTTAAATTAAAAGAAAATAGTAATTACTTTTTAAATTTGACTAAAGCAGATGCTGCCCTTTCTTTATTGTGGCATTTCACATGGCTATTTATTTATTTCATTTTTAACTTGACAACAGTCTCCCCTTTTCATTTCCTGTAGAATAGACTATTATCAGGATAACCTGCTGTCATAATGACGAATAGAAAATACAAATAGCCTACTGTAATGCTAGCACTTCACAAGTGCATTCCATCATAATATTCTAGGAATAGAATGCATTTTGACAAACTATAATTTTATCAAAGTCTATTTTTAAGTTAATATTTTTTTTTAATTTATCATATCCTTATTCTAAAATAAACATTCATAGTTATGTAATATTTTTGTTTTCTAGGAAGAAGCAAAACAGCAATTAGAAGAATTGACTAGAGACAGGCAGTCTCAAGAAATTCAACCTTCAACATCACATGACAACTTTGCTGGTATGCAGGTAAATAGTTTTAAGTTGTCTCATTAATATTAACGAAATGGTTACGTTGTAAGTTAAAGAAACATTACAATGTTTACTAACAATACAATATACAACATGATCTTTATTACTAAGTGCTAATTTGTCTTCTTATAAATATACAAGTTTACACTGAATCGATGGATGGTGACTAAACTTTTTTTTTCACCCTCCATCAATTAGATTATCAAAAGTAATAGACACGTATTTTTTATTTTTTCACATAATCCAAACATTGCAGAGATATATTGATTTTAAATGTCGTCACGTCTTGGTAAAATACTTAGAAGTTGCATCACGAGTTCCACTCCCGAACTTTGGCGCGCTTTAACTTTGTAAGTTTTGGTTGATTGGTAATCTAACTGACCGACTAAATAGATTTCCTTTACTTTACCCCGTCATTATCCCTAATCTCAGTAATGAAGACCTCAAGATTAAAATAGTGAACTGGATTACAAATGAAATTGTCATGTATGTATGCCTTAATATTTATTTGTACTGAATAATTTTACTAATTTGTTTCCTAGAACCAGCCCTTTAGTGCAAATTTTCTCCATCCGAATCGAATGTATGCTGCCAATCAAATAGGGGTAGCTACTACTCTGCCACATTCTACGGAGACTTTGCACAGCCAGCAGAACCTTTCTGAGAACTTAGACAATGAACATGGACACATTCACAGTCAAGATGAACGCTTCTCACAGCGTGAAACTAATGTTGCGAGTAATGAAGTAAGTTTAAAATATATATTACGACATATTGATAAACTACATGCAATCAAAAACTTTTGAAAGACATATTATTACCAATCAGAAACGAAAATCTATTTAATGTTTCAATCTTGACCCGCCCTACTTCTAAATCATGAACCAGATATTATTTTTTACTTTTTAGTTCTATTTTCGATACTGAAGTCGGTTTTATTTTTTGTTTAAAAAGATTTTATTTCATCCATTTTAGTGAAAATTACATCGTCAAAGTAAACAATGACACAATTGACGCAGAAATCGGTGAATATGCATAAAAAAACATGGTGCGTGCCTTTGAAATTTGAAGGTTTCCCTTGATTTCTCCGGATTCCACCATCAAATCCCAATTTGGTTCCAATGGGACCACCTCGGAAGTGCAATCTTTCGAATAAAAAAAGAATTTTAGAAATCGGTCCACAATTGACGGAGAAATCGGTGAACATACATAAAAAGAAAGAAATATACAGTCGAACATAGAACTTCTTCCTTTTTTGAAGTCGATTAAAAATCCAATCCTGGTATTTTAATATTGCAACTGTCCTACAAAGGATATTGAAATTGTTGTAATGATATCCATTATTAAAAGTAAAAACTAATTACGACACGATGGAACTGACGCGATAAAAAGAAAGTGTGTGTGAAAATATATTAAAAATACTGCTTGCTTATCTAAGCAGCATGAGTCATCTTTGTTATAAGTTCAACCCTCGTAGTTGACAGCTGTTAATAACGTAAATAATTTCTTCGTCAACATTGAAAAAAAAACGTGCAGAAAAGGTCTAAAATCCAGATAGTATGTCACTTTTAACTTGTCAATCAGCTTGCAATAGTAATATAAATTCAATTTTTCTTTCACAAACTCATGAAGACTGATCTAGCTTAAGCTTTTGATGTAGTTTCAGTCAGCAGTTTTAAGTATAAGAAATTAAATTATTAAGAACTTAAATTATTTAATAGTTATCTAAGTACACATACCCAATGCGTAAAAATAGTAAAAAATCTCAGCTTAGATCAAGACAATACCTGTAATGGAGTTCCTCAGGGTAGTATTTTAGGCCCTACTTTGTTTTCGATTTGCATAAATGATCTATGCAATTCAAAATATGCATTTTCGTGATCTATGTAATTGGAAAACTGTTGTCAGCATAATAAATGAATTTCCCTAAAATAAATGGCTGCACAAATATTTACTTACACTCAACAAAACTAAGTATATGCATTTAGGTATGGGCAAATCCACGACTGCTCGCATAAACCGAAGCCGCTATGGTCATTATTGCGAAAAATCTACGTATTGCTTAGGAAAATGTCGAGAGGTCAATAGGATTAATTAGCCCACGGACCTAAAAAAAAGACGGACGTAACATCAAAGGCAAATCATGTGAAGCATGCAAGGTCAGACAAAATCGTTTGTTGTACACTACCTACACTCACACTAATGCACCAGGTCGGACAAAACGCTGCCATTTGACCCCGCGTGACAGCGGCAGTCACACATTCAATTGCTCTGATAAAAATAATTAAAAATGTCGTCTTGTGTGGTGAAATCCTGTGAAAACTACACGAATAAATTTAAAAAGTCACAAGGAATTACCTACCAATGCGTAAGTATTGACAATTCTTGATATTTATTCCATATTATATTTTATTTACTGGGATAAAAATTGTAAACAAAAATACAACTGTATGGCTACTTTATTTACGGGAAATTTTCCCTAAAAGAAGGGAATTTTGTATTTCTTGCATTTGTGACTCGGTAAGGTCAGATTTCGTAACTTTTTAGGGTTCCTTATCCCAAAAGGAAAAGAATAGAAGCCATATTATTCATAGAATATTTTATATGTTTTATAAAATGGTATGTTCTCGCTGTGAATTCTTTGTTGTTTATGTATATGTAAATATATAGCAAACTTTTTTGTGTTTAGAAACTGATTGTAACTAATTATTTCTTTGTGTTTTTTTATTGTTTGGTTTTAGTTTTGGTTTTTGTAAGTTCTAGTTTGTCATAGATAAATCTTACTTCATTTTTATTTAATTTTTAAAAAAAATCATTTCTCTTGTTTTAAGGCTTAAGATACTAAAAGCATTCAGCCTATGTTGTTATTTTTTTTTGTCATGCTGATTGGTATGGTTCTAATCTTCTGTTTTATTATTAAATTAAAAATGTCTCGTCAACCCTGCCAGAATTATCAGCGCTGCAGCAGCCCTGGTGTTGCTGTAGTATTAAGCTGAGGCAGGGACCTAGTTGTTTTTGTATATCGAATGTTAAGCATGCGACTTTAAGCCTGCGTCATAACATTTTAAAAGACATAAATAAATTTAATTAGATTTCTGCTCTGCACTTACCAGTAAATATCCCAGAGGTAATTTAAAATGCTAATTGATACCGTGTATTAAGAATACGAATGCTTCAGAAGCAAGGGTTTGACAGTTTTCTGAAGTTCCTGTCCCCATGTCGACATATCTCTTTTCCTCACTCTGTCAGTCTTTAAATACCTACTAAATCTATGAATGAAACACTTACATTTAAAAGAAGAAATAATAATATTAGTCTATTATATTTTTATTTTAATCTGCGCGATTTTGGGTATATTAATGTGTAATATTAACCAGATACTTAATTTTTATGTACTTTATACCTAGCAAGTGTTTTCATTTTTCTAACGGTCATCATAAAAATGAAGTTTGATAGGCCAACATTATGTTTCTAAAGGGCACCCGTTTAAATTGCTGAAATATCGGAGCTCACATCTAATAAAAACATGGTAAATATCCCGTTATTGTAATAAATACATTTACAATAACGGGATTACCTACATAGTGTTAACAATATTTTAGTTTGAGACATTTAAAAAATAGGGAAATCGATGACCTATATGACCACCCTCAAATCACGCACACACGGTAAACGGGCGACCATTTGCATGCTTCACTCGTGATCAGACGAGGTTACGTCCGTCTTTTTTTTTAGGTCCGTGGATTAGCCAATTAAAATATGTAAAAATCTATGAAACAGTTTCTTTTATTATATATATTACTTTATCTACCCCCATGCTTTAAAACCTTTTAAAGATTCTGAAACAGCTTATAAATAATATAAATAAAATTTATTTCATAATAACACTTTCACTTTTTAAATCCCTTCCCTTTTTCCCCACGCAAAATAGGCACTAGGTGTCGAGTTGCGGAAACAGCCCGCCGTACTACTAAGACTAAGACTATCCCTTCCGCGCCAAGGGCTTGCTCATCAGACAGCCACTTTCACTGCTGGATGCATGGTATTATGAATTTCAGAAAAAGAACATTATCATTCACGCGTGCTTCACTAACACAGCGCCAAAGCTTTCCATGAATTCTAAGTTCTTAGAACGCCCGATGGTTTTAGAATCTTTTATAGAGGATTCATATCATGGGTGTAGATAAAGTATTTTACTATACAACATTTTTATAAATAACTATAAAAAAAGAATCTAGAAGACTAATTTAAATTTATACTTTTGTATCAGGAAACTACTAACGGCGTCCAGAATAGCGAAGGTGAAGACGACGAAGGTCTGTTAGGAGAACGTGGCCGCATGTTGCAAATGAAACTGCGTGAGCTACAAATGAAAAAACAACATATGGAGAACTTGGTAATTACAACACAATTTTAACTATCTGAACTTTTGTAGGTTACAAAATGTAATTTCATGTCCTACATCCTTAAAAAAATCCTCAGTAAATTAAAAAAGAAAAATGATCAAGGCTGTCCTTATTTTCAAAAAACAGAATATAGATACAAATTATGATCTGTAAAGAAAATATTTCAAAATAATCCATGATATTGTTTAAAAGCCCTGCATTTCATTATATCTTAATACTTAGGTATCAGAGTTCCAGAAATTGCAAATGGCTACTTGCTTGGAAACATCTCATAATACATATTCTAGTTCCGGGGAAGATAGCGCAGACGACGAACCTACTCGCAAATGTAAGTATTAAGTCGATATATAATTATTAAAAGAAAGTAATATACATGCATCAATTCAACAAATTTTCAAAGATATTCGTTTTACAGGTAATAAACCTGTAAGTGGTAATATTAAAAATGATGATCCATTCAAACTGATGGAGATAAAAGCTATTAAGACCGCACTACAGAAGACGAAGGGTAAATTGATAGTTCAGTTTCCTTTATAATTGTAAAAATCTGGAACAAATATTCACATAATTCATTTTATTTCAGATCTCATGAGATCAGTAGAGAATTATGAGGCTGATCATTTATCTGGAATTCACGATGAGACTTATTCAGTCCCAGGACATTCTAATATTCATGATAAGTATGTAAACATATTTTAATTGATGTTGTCCAACATCCTAATTAATGTCAAACTTCAGCTCCTGTTACATTATATACTTTTTTAATCAGACAATTGAAAGATATTTATAAATATCGACCAAAATATATGTTAGTTTTAAAACAAACTATATAGTCGAAACGGCCTGACCGATTTTTATGAAATTTTATATTCATATTCCGTGGGTCTGAGAATCGGCTACTATCTATTTTTCATATCCTTAAGTGATAATGGTGGTCCACCTGTAACGTAGTGTTCTGAAACCTACAATGAGCCTTCGCGCCAAAATTCAAACTATTGGGTATTGTAACGTAGTGTTTTTATATGGGTTAGGAGGAATGTTATCCCAGGAAATTTGATAGAACACTTTGTTACACACCCCTAAAATTTTTTGGAGAATATTTTTTTATAATGTGTTATTAAACAATACATACAACCCTAAATTTTCTCTTCTACCACCTTGCCCCTATTTTTATAGCGGTACGAAGTTCGCTGGGTTAGCTAGTAATAATATAGAATACAGTCACAGGCCATTTTCAATTTCAGGCTACTATAGGCTGATGGTTGTTGAATATTACGTCGTATTAAATTTTTAGGCTACATTAATAGACTAAGATAATGATAATGTTTATTTCTTTATAAATATACTTCTATCCGTTACCCAAGTTCCCATAACACATTATACACACAATGCTTACTTTGTGGTTCGTCTAATTGATGTGTGTTGAAAAATATGTTGCGGTAAAGCTTTAGGAGACATTAATAGGCTGATAATGATGACGATTTTTCGTCGTAGTAAATCTGAAGGCGGTGGCAGCGCGGGTGGTTGGTCGAACGAAGGCAGCATGTGTCGCGTTCGGAACACATTACCGCAAAGAAACAAGTTCACTAACGAACAACATTCTCACCAACAACAACAACAACTTCAACAACATCAGCAACAGCTTCAACTACAACAACAGCAGCTTCAACAACAACACCAACAACAAGTTCAACAACATCAGCAACATCAACATCAGCAGCAAAGTAAGATCGAGTGCATTTTTTTTAGTATAATAAAATTAAGTTTTGCTAAAGTATTCGAATATAACAACAGCTTTTAAATCTTGGAATGAATTCCCCTATCAGCCATTCAGACATATTTGTAGCTATGATTGTATTGATTGTATCATTTGATGATTGAATTACCATCATCATCTTAGGATTTGTTATTGTTCATTATCCTTGGATTATATTACAATACTTTATTCAAAATACAGTTCATACAAAAAGCCCGGTGGTATGATTGGAACAGTTAAAGTATAAGCATCTTTGTCTATCATAATTTAATTAGACATTGACTTAATAAATAAAATACCCAGACACTTTAATTTCCTTTAACTTTATTATAAAAGCGAATATATCAATGACTTTAGTCCATTGAACATGTTTTATGACTCATAACGGAAGTGTTATAATCATTATTTCTTTCGATTATTATTTTTTAGCTCATGAAGCCAATATAGCTTCATTGCAAGAATTAGCGCAAGAGTTGCGCATGGAAACAGAGAAGGTAATGGGTGAACGAGCGCGCATCAAAGATATGATCTCGAATAAAGGTAACCCAAGCCTCTTTATACTACCGTCGTTTAAAAACAACAGAAAACATATAACAAAAGATGTAGGCACATATTTTTTTATATTCATGTTATGTATATACATACAATAAAATGGTAGGAAAGTCAAAATTGTACTTTGAATATTTTTTTAAAAGAATACTTGGGGGTGTGATCTACAACCGATACTAAAGCCAAAAATATAGTTTTTAGAATTTTTGTCTGTTTGTCTGTATATATGTCCGGGATAAACTCTAAAAGTACAGCCTGGATTTACTTAAAATTTGGCACGAATATTATTAAGAAGTCGGGTCAACATATAGACTACATATTATATTATCACGCTATCACCCGTAGGTGAAATTTAGAAATAAAGGTTCACTGCTCGTTCCCCGTAGGGAACGAGCAGTGAACCTTTATTTCTAACTACCGCCACGCGTACGAAGGCGCGGGCAGCCGCTAGATTGATAATAAAGTGCTTTATCGACTTAGTTTGTTTTAAAATATAATAATTATATTTTTCTCATGTGATTTCACAGACTTTAAGTCTCATGTAAAAAAATATCATAATCAGGTATGACAAAATGTTTCAGGAATATCTGGTCAACTTATCATTTAATTTTGCTTCTGTTAAATCACCTTGTTCTTTACATATCTAATTCTTCCCGGGCAGAATCCCAGGCAGCAGAAAAACTATCCTTGACATTCAGATCAATTTCACTGTTCTTTTTGAAATAACCGGTCATAAGATCGCTGAGCAAAAATGAATTATTTCACACAATTTTGTTCTTAGGAAGGTAAGCCATTGGTTCCGGCTGCATCTGAAGTCGATAGCACCAATCAACCCGCACTGGGCAATGGCCCGTCCACCTTACTCCATCCATAGGGAAACATAAGATTCAGCAGTGGGGACATTAATTTCTGATGATGACTCTTCTATCGTTGTAAAGCATAGTTCTTAATAGGATTTTTGAAGAAAACGATCTCATGTTCAAAAACATGATCGTTTTCTTTAGTCAATACTAATATGAAGTGGATATTCGTCATTCTGTTGTGTATTACAGTAAAATAAACTAAATTAAAAAAAAACAAGTTGCAGCAAAAACGTTTCCGTGGACACACGACTATCATTAAAACGTCAAACGATACAATGTAATGTCACTGACCGGGTGTTAGATACTATGGGTGTATTCCGAAATATACATCAGTGTACTGGCCTGTGGTAATCGACGAATCCGACGCCATATTGTAAACGAATATGACGTATGACCGAGCGAGTGTGAGATGCATTCGAATTTTATTTCTTTTTTATTTAAAGACCAATAATGGCATCCGAATAAAAAGAATTCCTTTTAATTGTTGAGATGAATAAAAAATCTTCTTTATTCAGACTATTTTTAATATTTCGTCGATTTATGACGTCAGTGCACTGGCCATTATATTTCGGAACAATTCACCAGTATAGCGTCGATTCATGACGTCATTAGCACTGGCCAGTATACTGGTATATATTACGGAATACACCCTATATAGCGTTTTACGTCATTTTAGCCTTCGCCAATCCCAGGCATTTTCGGTCACGTGACCATAGAGATACCAAAAAATAAATTCTATTTCATGATTTTTTAAGAAAAGTTATTTATCATTTGTTCTCTCAGAATAGTAAAGTCGCTGCTTACATTCATAATAAATACCGATGCCAACAATTTGTACTTTATTTTTCATACTGTCAAATAGCCTATTCATCTTACATGTTGTATGTGTCAGAAGTGGCCCGCAAACAGAAGAAAGTAAACGAAGAAGTGAGAGCTGGGCCAAGTGGGGCCCCAGGTCCCGCCGAACGAAGGCAGATGCAACTACGAGCCCTTCTAGCTGACAAACAGCGCGAATTGGAGGCACTGCTGAATAAAGAGGTGTTTTTCTGCTTTAGTGTGCTTATTAACGAGACTGTTTTCCACCGGTTCTGGGGATGGTTTTAAACCGTGTCTACGTCCGGTTATCAGTTAAGTATGGGACACTATGGAGGTTTGTTAGTGACGGTTTGGGGTCGGTACAGATAGTAGCAAACTTCTTGAGTAAAACTACAAACAAATAAAATAAACTTGCGCAGTAGACGTTTTTGTATGTCAAATTGCTACTCCGCAGGCTTTCTTGTCTATGGCCGTTGCTCAAGACGTTTGCCGGGGTGTATACAAACGTACAAACCGTGCTCGTACAAGCTTAGCCGGCAGTGGCCCGGGTAGAACCCGATTCATTAAAAAGTGCTCTAGGGACTCGTTAAATAAAATGCATTTACTTCGCTCTACACTTGCTACAAACAGCGCGAATTAGAGGCACTGCTCAATAAAGAGGTGAGTGGGGTGTCAGCTTTAATTGAGTGTGTTTACTTCGCTAACAAACAGACAACAAACGAATTATAGGCACTGCTTAATAAACTCACCTCTTTATTAAGGGGTTTGACAGCCCAGGGGGCATCTAGGAGCTCGTTAAATAGAGTGCGTTTACTACGCTGACAAACAGTGTGAACTGAATTCGCTGCTTAATAAAGAGGTGGGTGGGAGTTTCAGCTCCATGGTGTTGTCTTTTTCTATTGATATCGCAAAGAAAGAGAGACAAAGATAACTTTAATTGAAAATTTTTTGACGTTTCTGAGTACGCCCGTTCATGTTCAAATATATTTTTACAGAAGGTTCTCTGCACTGAATCAGAAGTCCAAAATCGAAAGCCCTCTTCCAGGTCTGGTTCAGTGGCAAACAGATCTTACAACAGGTAAGCATTTCCTACTAATATTATAAATGGGAAAGTTGGTAAGTTTGTAACACAATCACGCAAAAACTAATGACCGGATTTGGATGAAATTTGGTACACATAAATTTTGTGACCTGGATTGAGACCACTCATTATCCCGTAAAATGTTAGATTCCTGTGGGATTTTCAAATAACTAAAGTTAACACAGACGAAGTCACGGGCGGCCGCTAGTTTTATATAAATCATTAATTTAAACATAGCTATGATTTTGTCGGCACTGCACTGTTTTAGGTTACTCTTGAGAGTCTTTAAAAAACCTTAAGCTAAGAGATACATGAACCATGGTTAATCATCAACATTTGGGTTATGTTAGACTATCTTGAAATTTCTAAACTTTTCTTGCAGCGAACAGGAAGAACCAGATTCACGATCTGAACCAGTACTGATTGATTCACAGAACTCTAGAGAAAATGAAAACTTCAGGGTATGTAAATTGTATTGTAACCTTTTTTTATAGCATTGAACAAGGAAAAGAATTATTAATAAATTTTCATAGTGTCTTTGGGTCAGGAAGAAACTTCACTGGCTTCCCGATTTTAATCCAGTTTGATTTCATATGGATAACTGTTTAATTGTCTCGTTGTTTTAGTGTAGTGCTTGCACTACCTATATTTCTTCTCCTTTCAGTTCGGAGCAATGTTTTTATTGTTTTTTATGCAACAAGGAACAAATCACCCCACCTCACTTAATGTTACGTATAAGCAGAGTCTGGTCACGAATATATTTCTACCGCGTCAGCTAACCTAGAAGAAGTGTGCCGCTCCAGCATTCTTCACCTTACCTTAACACAATCCCATACGCCGTATTGACTAAGAAACTTACCAACAGTAACATAGCAAATACAAAGACGAGAGGTTTTATAGGGGTTTGCTCTAAGTTAGAAGTCAAGTAAAGCCATTAAGAGGGATGCGGGGATATATTTCGATCGCCAACAGCGACCTTATCAACAATAGAACAAGTAGGGAAACTAAAAGCAAGCTGTTTGTTAGCATATCTAACTAGATACCTATAAAAATGCAGTACTGTATCAGTGACAAGCACAATTCGTATTGACTATCCAGTTAAAAAAAGCAGAAGTTATTGGTTTACAAGAAATTCATTACTACAAACAAACAGTTCAATTTATTTTAGTCACCGGACAGGATTTGAACGAATATAGCTCATTCACGCATTTATGTCATCCAACTACGTGACAAAAAATAGTGCCTCTGGTTGTGAGTTGCTAGAACTATTAACGAATGACGCTGTGCAACATAGGTAGAAGATGTGCTACATTCAGAAAAGCAGCTCCTCTTTGAATTTCCATTTCTGCAAGGTAGAGGATACTTCTTCAGACAAAATTTTAGGTGATGTCCAATGTTAATTTTTTATTATTTTATATATTTGTTTCTTAGGTTTTCAAGCACATCACTCATTAAATAAAACTAGTTTTAACGGGTTAATGCACGAAACTTTATTTATTGACGTTTCGCAGCCTTTTCAGGTCTGCATCGTCATCCTTCGAAAGACTTATTGAGCGTTCGGTTATTTCATTGGAAGATTTAAAAAAAAATTGACTATGTATGAATTTATTAGTTAATTTAGTTAATAAAGTACTTTATTTAAAATTCTTTTTTGTAATTTTGAGTTTATTTATTTGACCCTAGCTACCGTAAACTACCACCGGTTCCAAAATTGGGAGACCTTTCTGAGAAGAACCGGCGAAACAAACTCAGAGAGGCTTTCTATCACCTTCTTATGTTAAATAATGCAAACAAAAATTATTAATAATTTATTATTTTATATTTTACAGGTTGGCAGTGGCGATAACTCTCTAAGCGCTAGATCGGTAAACACAGTACCAACCCATTTGGGAAGCACTTATGCTAGCGACAGTGACAGGTATCGTATATAATTATTGTCCCTTTAAATCATAATATTTATCAAATGAAAATACTGCCCTTTTCCCGGCACTTAATATGGCTATTCGTTTGTATTTGCTATTTGTGAATATGACAACAGTCGCTCCTTTTCCTTCCCTATAGAATTTGTTAAGGACAATCTGCTGTCAAAATAAAAACGATTAGTCGTGCGAAGTGCCGGCATTAAACCGTATAGATCTCAATAATTTTATATTTGTTGTTAGTTTTGAACTTATAATCAGTATGCAAGTGGGCATTATTAAGCTTTCATGTTGACTATTAAATGAGTTTAGTTGCTACAAAATATGCCTTCAAATTAAAGACCTAATTTCAGATTGCTTAATCGGCGTCGAAAGATGCATTTAAAAGATTTATATATAAACTAAATATTTCGGGTTTCGATCAGCGAAGATAAGCTGCTCACATTTTTTTTGCAGCGTTTCCAGAAACAAATCCAATCAAAGAAACCGAGTTCGAAGAAGACAACCTCAAGAGCGGCAGTCCGACGAAATTGTAAATACCCAATGAATTAGTAATGATATGGAAGCATTACTCTCTAACAAAACCGCTAAAATATGGTCCTAAACTCACAACTAAACTTCAATACTAACGCGACACGCGTACAGACAAAACAAATACTTTGACAATTCAAATATCTGCAAATGAATCGGCTATCCATTCATTGGGTAACATAATGTTAAACGGATATCCCAATCAATCCCATGATCGGCTTATTGATCGCAGTTTATTCGCCCTGCCTACTAGATCGCAGTTTGCGTTGAACCACTTTTTTGTGCAGTTCGTAGTCCATATTATTTCTTATTCATTGTAAATACCCAACTTTTCTGTTAAAGTTTATTAGGTACTAATGATTAAGTTTTGAAGAGCGAATTCTTATTATATTTTCAGATCTCGCAGACTAACAATACAAATCAAAATGTGCGACATGAACCTAGGAGTGAGATATCTAACGTCAACATGGTTCAACCGACAACACAAAACGGTATCTATCTTTATATATTGCATTCATTGTGTCCTATGTACTCTATGTACCTCATTTGGTATTAAATTTATATTACATGAAAATATGTGTACTACCACAAAATAGAAATAACAGAAGGTAATCTCATGTATGGACTTTACTATACCTATGCTCGGCGGTCGCGCTAGGATCGTCAACGCTTATGCACAAAAAACTATAGTACGGTCGCCGGGCAGAAAGAACTTCGTACAATGACCCCACGCTACCCATCCTTATCGCTCGCCAGTACTTATGTTGCTGTCTCGCTTGCACACGTACCGTGTGTAGTACTGTGTGCAAGCCTGACAGCAACATAATAAGTTCATATACAACATAAATTCTTTCTGCTCGGCGACCGAACTTTATCGCGGTAGTGTCACACGTATCTAGATGTTTGATTCATTGTTGAGAATGAAACAATATAAAAACCGTTCGTAACTAAAATATTTCAATTTTAATGTTATTGTGTTAATATTGAATTTAAACAACCGTCTATTGAAAAGATGCAATCAATTGTTTTTTTTTCTCCATTTTTGCACAAAACAATTCATAGACGCATGTCTCGAGGGGATGACACTTACGCTCGTAGTGATCTGAACCGCTGTTTCGACATATCGTGACCGTGAGCAGTGTCTGTGTGCGTTGCTCGAGTGCACTTTGTATATAGATTACCTTCCGATATGTCTATTCTGTGGTAGGTGGGCTTCTTTTCTAATCAGGTAGTCACAAGATTAACATGTAAATACAGCTTTGGAATGTCTGTTCAACAGTGCTGAAATAGTAAAGAAAGCTAATTTATTTAATTATTTATTGCAGTTGAAAATCCTGTTAATATTCCATACCACCACTTGCCCCCACCCACTTGGAACACCAATAAATGCAATCAGGTAATGTGTTTATAAAAAAATCGTATATTTACAACTCAAACTAAATCATTATTCTCATACCATATTTATAAATATATTATTGGTAAATTATGTGATGCCGACATATCACTAGGCTTTTCATATTTATTATGTGTAACTTTACAACAGTGTCTCTTTATCATGCTTTATAAAGTATGAAAAGGACAGACTGATGTAAAGTATACAAATAGCAAACACGAACAGCCAAGTGTAGTGCCGGCATCAATTGATGTGGCTATTTCGCAATATTCAAATGTTTGTCTGACTAAGATCCTTTTTAATCAGGATATGCGCACAAATCAGTTTACTCAGAACAGCCATTCTCAGACCATGGATAGATTGCTGGGCTCGCCTCAGATGTCCTTTCCACCGTCTCTGCCATTCAACATGATGATGCCGTATGGTAAGTGCTGTCAATAAACTGTCCAGTTATTAAAATTCTATTTTCTACGCTTTTAGTGTAATTTAATTAGTTATTCGCAATTTTTAATACGTATAATACAAATTAGTGAAGTCATTTGCTCTAGTTTTCAGTAATGTAAATTAACGTTATAAAAAACATAAGTATTATACTTATGTATTGCATGAAAAACTACTTCATGAAGCTAATTGATTTAATATTATCATCATTATCAGCCTATTAATGTCACCATTGTAGGGGCACAGGCCTTCCCTATGTATAGAATAGGGAGATTGGGCCATGACTCACTGCGTGGGGCCATGGATGGGTGCTAACGACTACAGATGCAGCCGGGATCAACAGCCTAACGTGCCTTCCGAACATGGAGCACCCCCACTAGAGTCCGCATCACACAAATTTTGTTTGGAATCAAAATCGCCAAAGTCGGTGGGGTGCAGGGAGGTCAGCACCGCTGTGATTGGACGCGTCAAGGTCAGATCATATACTCAGTGCAGCGAAGTGATGAGGGTAAGATCGATTTTAGAAAATATCGATATTTTCTATCGATAAAAAAAACACGTCCAGGACAAGAAGTATTAATGCAACGATATTAACTGCCCTAGATACAACAACACGAAACGTGTCCAAAAGGTACATTTGACGATCCACGGAGGTCCGTAAGATGATCGCGTGGTCAAAAACAATATAATTTATTTAAACATTGAAAGTCACCTTTAATGCATACGGCATAAGGTCTTAATGAAAATGCATGCGTCAAGTTCGTAAAATTTTACGATTTATTGTTATATGTGAAAGAATATAGACCTTATTTTTTTTTACTTTTCACGCGCAATTCTGAATTAGCTGTTAGCAATATAGCAGGTACAGACCGCGAAGAAAAGAGATGGCTAAGGGCGACGTATAACCGACCATGCATTTGAATATCACAAATATTTTAAATTAAATTAGTTTATAGTAAGTATTACAACAATAAAATTAGCTTTAAAGGCGTTAATTAAAAAACATTAATTAGATACCCGTCGAAAAAACGACACTTTACGTACTATTAGTATTTTTCTGCATTTTTTCACGGAACTCTTTGGCATCTTGACTTTTCAAACGGTCCGCGTGTGACTGTGTACTAAGAAGTGCTTGAGTGGAGTTCAAGCACTTCTTGATTGGGACACATTTTGAGCGCTCGTGGTGTATCTAGGGTATTTAATATCGTTAATTCTATGTCTTTATCTAGGTCATAAACTATGCGCACTTAATTTCATACAAATCCGTTTAACCGTTTTAGCGTGAAAGAGTAACAAATATGCATACAAAGGACATTGTTCAGCGTCCATACATAGTTAGCCTAAGAACCAACAATCATGAAATATTATTTTCTAGGTTCGAAATCGTAAGTAAAATGTCTGTAAAAACAAAGATTATTGACGGACACTTCTGAGAACTTAAATTATTAGGAAAACTAAAATGTTTTTGAGGTTATGTTTAATATTCAATGAAACATAGGTCAACCTATGAAATTAGTATGTACTCAGTGTAAAGTAAATTAATATTACGACAAATTCATTTTATTCGGTGCGATTTTAAAGAATATCTATTAGGAAAAACTTGGTTAGGTAGGAATCGTGAATAAAATAAAAACTGTAGTTTTGCTTCTTATTTATTGACTATTTTTCACGTAGTTGTATAATATTGTATATTGTATTTATTTGTATATCACATGTATATTGTGTAAATATGCAGCGTGAATGTGTATCGGATGTTGTGTTCTTGAATAATTAAGCAGTATGATCCTCTCAGGATGTTGTGGCACAGGTTCACTAGCACTTGGTAATAAGGGCTCTTCTCTTCGGTAACATTGATGGCATATTAGATAGCCAAAATAGTTAAATTAAAGGAAAAACAATCGCAAATAAACACACACAACAGGTAATCCAAAACGAGAATGCACTTTCCGGTATACCTATTAAACTACTCTTTGGAATGCACGAATGCTACAGATTACTACGAATGCAAACTGCCTGCACCACAACCACAGAGTAACGAGTTTTATGCCGGCCCTTCACTTGACAACAGTTTGTCGTTGTCATGCTTAATAAGGGTAGTTTTCCAATTACAGCACTAGAGCGAATTATGTGGCATAATGGTTATCGTTGAATATTTCAACTACAGCAACGCTTCGCACAATCGAGCATTCTCAAAAGTACCTAATGTTTTCGTGTGATGCGTGCAATCTACCAACTCAGTGACAGAAAATTAACAAGTGTTTTTTTCTTTAAGTTTTGTTGAAAATTTTTAAAGCTTTCGTTTCATTGTAGTTCTTTTAAAATAATCAAAGTTAATTCAAACTGTTTAAAAAAATAAATATAAGTATGGATGAAGGTACAAACATTGACTTAGCGCACTCTGCTGGTGCATTTGAAAACTAATTCACGTTCCAATTAAGCATCATTATAATTCGGCATTGTGCGCCACTGAGTCGCATTACGCTCTGTAATTGGAAAACTAAGCCAAGTGAAGTGCCGGTATTAGGAAGAAATAGTGTTTTGTTTGCAGCGCTGTCATAGGGTACGGCCAGAGTGCATTCAGATTCAGATTCCGAAAACAAGCCCGAGAAATAAACAGTGTAGTCGAAGGGTACGGCCAGAGTGCACTCCTGATTCAGATTCAGACTCAGAAAACAAAGCGCGAGAAAAAGCAGGCAACCTGCTTAGATTACACTGTTTATTTCTCGCGCTTGTTTTCGGAATCTGAATCTGAATCTGAGTTTCCAGTATATATAAGTACTCTTTGATCTGAGTGCACTCTGGCCGTACCCATAGATTATACACATAAAATGGTACTTATTGTCTCAGATTACTTTTTAACTTTTTAATTTAGCTTACTTAACTGGAAGTGTCCGTCACAATCTAAATACTGATAATTATCGCAAAAAATATACTAAGAATTATCATAAATGCCAAATTGGTGTTGGTTTTTAGGCCAATTTTAACATTGTCCTTTTCGCGTTTTTTCAATTTTATTAGGATATGTTTGAAGTCAAATAAAAACTGTTGGTTGTATACTTATGACATCTATTATTGTATACGATGAAATAAATAGTTTTTATTTATTTTTTCCATTTCCATAGCTGACAAACTAATCGATAAACTTACGCGTTGAGACATGAGCTGCGTCTGAGTCACTAGCAATACACGTGCCGGTGTGAGAGCGAGATAGCATATATGATGTAGCCCATGCGAGAAAGGGATAGTGTAAAAAGACATCAACGCGTTCACCAAAAAATAAATACAATTAACAGCAATTTAATATTACAGTATTTTTGTCTTTTTGTAATGCATTTAAACTAACCAGTGAAAAGTAATACCATTTTTTTGAAGACTGGAAGTTGTACTCGACTTTCCACACAATTTAATTGCACAGTACGGCATTTTTTACAGTTTTTTAACACGAAAACGAGAGAAGCAGTTCGACCAACGCTCGGTTACCGAATGAAACGATGTATCGCGACGTCTGTAGGCGTGCCTCACGCATAGGTAAAATACTACTTAAGCTTGGCGTAAGCGCTTGCCCTTGTATGCGGACTCTAGTGGGGGTGCTCCGTGCTTCCGAAGCACAGAGGATCGATAAAGTTAATTTTTTTGTTCTTCCATCCAATGACCGACCACAGCGAAAGTTGCTAAACTTTAAGGATCTCAGCCGAACAGGCTAACCACTTGCGCCATCGAGCTCCTTTATAAGATGATGATGATACTTAATGAGTATGTTTGACAGCTCGTATATCATTGTTTGTTCAGGTATGGTTGGTGCTTGCGGGGCCGCTTGCCCGTGCGGGTGTGCAGCGTGGGGCGCATGGTGCTGGCAGCAGTTGGCCCTGCAGCAGCGAGATCTGCACCAGCTGCGTGCCCAGCTAGCGCACGTGAGTACCCCACCACCCTCGGTCCGGATAGAGAGGGGCGGGGGCTGTATAGAAAGTAGGTAGGTGTGGGGCGCGTGGTGCTGGCAGCAGCGAGACCTGTACCAGCTGCGTGCCCAGCTGTCGCACGTGAGTACCCTACCACCCTCGGCCCGGATAGAGAGGGGCGGGGGCTGTATTGAATGTAGGCGGATGTGGGGCGCGTGGTGCTGGCAGCAGCGAGACCTATAGTCAGCTTCATAAAAATATGAGGTGATAAGATGGTCAAATACATGTTAAGATCAGAGGTTCAATTATATCTTTGCATTTAAAGTCATCTAAATATTGTACACAACCAACCAGTCTTATATTTCTTTAGATTAAAGTCTCCAAATACATATACAGCATTACAATGATCTTTGATATGTACGCATCGAAACTGTTCATTTGGTACAACAAACCAATATCTGCTACGTGCGCTTTTTGGGGATTTTATATTCATCATTATGACTAAACGAATTTTTAACTACAAAAACTGCTGTGCTAATCTAAGCGTTATAAATGAACAATGAACGGAGGTTGCGTCAATATATGCTATGTGCAAGTGCATCAACCAGAATATAGACAAATATTAACAGCTGTCTTAAAGTTATATTATTTGCACATAGCAGATATAGGTTTGACAACGACTATTTGCTCCATGCCAGTTCCACACTACGTGTACAGCATATATTTATAGATACCCTGCAACACTGATCCATACTATTACTACCGTAAAATAATACATATAATATTTTTATAAAAGTCATGACCGCCATTTAATTTAATACTTTATTTCCAGCTTGAGGAACGGTGGCGTGCTGAAACGGCGTCTCACACGCTTAATAACCAAGTTCCTCCCGGTAATCGAGCCAATAACTATTGGGACAATTTCCGCAGGTGAGCGTTTGTTTAAAAAACTTATTTTTTTAAATATCGTTCTTTAAATTTATCAGCTCTCCAAAGGAATCTGATATAAGAGAACATAATATGGTCTGATATGGTATATTGCTTGTTCGGTTCAAAGGACCAGTATTTATTAAAATGAAAATAACCTATATCTCTACCAAATTATAAGTCTCACCCTTTCGACAGTAACAATTAGTGAAAATAGTAACTTTTTTTGTTATTTATCCCTGTTATTTTAAATGAGCTAGGATTTTTTTTATACGTTACACGCAATTTACATTATTTATTTATAATTTTTGTTTTCAGATATTAGACTCCATATAATCTAAGCCTATTTAGTTTATAATTATATATAATATTACATTATAAGATTGAATAACTAGGATTTTCGTTTATATGATAAAATGGTGAGAATAATTTTTGTTTTGCTTTCACCTTCATCACAAACTTCCTCTTTAAAGCTTTATCATTATTATGATCCAATAAAATCATTTAGCAGTCCATTTCGCAAAACTGTCTATACATGTTTAACAGTATCTATCAATGTGTTGATTTTGTACTAACAAATGGAGTGCATTTAATCAATACACGTACTTATTTATGTTTTACAGATAAAGCGATATCCACTGATTAATACTAATTGTTTAGTGTAAAAAATCAACTCCTCTACATTATTAAGCTAAATGAGGATGACAACTTTATTTTTCAGTTATTCTCGTCAAAATCTTCTCTCGGCTAACAGCAAGACAAACGCGGACGGCCACTTGGGCGTCGGCCCCCCTCACAATCCGCATCCGTTGGTCGAAAGGTCTCACAACACTCTGCACCATACATCATCGTCCACATCTCCCTCGATTACACCGAAAAGAAACACGAATGCAGCTAGCTCGTCACATAACTCCCTTACACAACCTCAACAAGCCAACGAGGAAATACCTAACAGGCACATCCGCAGAAACGTCGCCTACGAACGATCTCTCTCGTTCTCATCCGCTCCGGACGTATTGAACGTCAATCAAAACTCTGAAGGCGATGGAAACGCAGCTACCCACTCTAGAAATATTGATGAACCAACCAATTCAGTGAACTTATCCAATGTCAATATAAATAGACAAGACGTCTCATCGAATCCGTTTAGAAATTTGAATATCGCTAACCCCATTCCTGAAATAATACAATCGCATTCCAATAACATCAATTCATCCGCCAATAGCAAGAAAAAGTCCTCTTCGAAACTACCTGCCAAGAATTCGACGAACAGGCGGAATTATACGTTGGACTATTCGCAAACTAGTAATATTAATATAGCCAGTACTTCCGAGATGCCTAATCCTAACTTGGCCTCTACGAGCCGTGACGTTCACGATAAAGCCACATCTAAGTTGTTTGATTTACTACGAGAAAACGTTTACTCTGAAGTTACTGCACTGATTGGTGTTAACGAATCGCATCCTGATTTCTTAATACAATTGTTTAGAGAATTGCAACTGATTAGTTCAGATCCTCTGAGACAGAAAGTCTTGCAATCGATCCGCAATGTACTATCACAGTACAGTTCCATTTTAGAAAGTCGCAGCAGTGACAATGGTCATGATACAAGTAGGCCTGACGACAATGTGACGACTTCTGAAGATTCTAACAATTACCATGAATGTAATTCATCTCAAAATGCCTGCAATTCTAGTACCGTGCAAATCGATAATAAAATAGTCCACTTTTTGCTGATCAAAAGTGACGAAATTTTTACTATAGACTTATTGGATTCTTTGGCATCGCAAATCCTTTGCACTATGTCTGAAGGCAGATATTCTCAACAAGCTAAAAAAAGGATTATTGAACTACTTTCAAAATATGAAGGTACAAGAGTTTGCGACGTTTCAAGTAATATTATAGAGAACCTTCCCCTCTTTATGGCCTCTCACAATGAAGGAGATGAATCCAGCCACCTAGCGACAGAGCGATCCGAATCTTCTATTCTACAAGACGTAGCAGGATCGTTGAATCTGTTTAGCTCGAGCGATAGCCAGCTACATCAACTCAACGCATGCCCGTACGATATGTGGCCCGGGCACGTGCACATGGATATTGATGCCTCCGAGTTGAACGACAACAGTCCACGGTCCAGTCAAGAAGGCAAAGTGGATTTGATAAACTGTTCTGAAATGCATAACGGAGACCTAGCCGAAGCCGACCAGACTTGCCATTCCGACATCGATAACAACGGCCGAGACGAGGCGGAGTCTAATGCAGAGGCACTGCCTGACGTGGTGGACACTGAAGAAGTGACGCCCACTGAGGTAATGCGACACGTACTTTATTGTAGATGCTTACCATTAATTAATTGCACTAACCGATCTGTTTAATCTCTTGTGACTATGAATACTAAACTTTTAATCCAATTAAAAACGTATACTATCCTTAATTTCAAGCGCTTAATCCTGTAAGTGTACCCCGCCGAATTTGTAAGCAGAAGTTGCCAAACCACAATTTTAAAAGCCGAGTTGTAATTTTTCATATTAATATTATAACGTGTACAATCAGTCGCAAATTACTATTATTTTTTACACACTTTCCGATACAACCAGGTCGAATTTCGCATATGTGTACGTATCTCTAGAAACAAATTTGTAGTTTCTGAATATGCCTCCCAGTCCCACACTTGTGAAAATTGACCTTTCGTTATTTGGTGTTAAACACCAGGTGTTTCATTCATGGAATAAGGCGTAAAGCGGCTGCCAGAGCCTATTCGCCAATAGTCTGACCAAAGTTATTCTTTATTTCAAGATATTGCATTCCAATCTATATTTGTGGTAAACGATTAAGAAGTGATATGGAAGCATTACAAACAAAGATCGCTAAATCATAGTTCCAAATTCATACAGCTAAACTTCAGTACTAACGCGACACAGACAAAACAAAATACTTAGACAAATCAAATATCTACAAATGACTTCAGCTATCCATTCATTGGGTAAGATGTTAAACGGAAATCCTAACCAATACCATGGTTCTGTACCATCCACCCCGGTACCCCCCTCCTCGTCGTTAACCGGGATGGAGGGCACAGATCAAATACCATACGCCCTTGGCAGCCTTTAAAGCGGGGAACTATAGTAAATATTATATTTATGAGACAGTAATTTATTTCCAATTTTTAAGCAGTATGGTACGGTATCTTATAGCAATAAATATATTTTTCACCTGAATTACAATTTTTTTACAATTCTCAACCTTTGTATTCAGATGCTTTTTTCAGCTTTTCGTAAATACATAATATAATATACAAAAATACCAGCTATTATTTGTAAGTATTGCGTTCGTAGATATACTGATGTATTTGCTTAAATTACCTAACTGAATTTTATTGTTACAAAGGAGATTGCTCAAATTGGCCCAAATGCACAAAAAATATTGACATACACGGTAATTGTTGGCGTAATTTATAATTTAATTTACAGTCATTAGATTTCAACGGACACCTTTGTATGATATATTTACTTTAAAAAGGACTTTTGATTTTACCAGTTTAAAAAACATACGAATCATTTTTAATGGCTATGGGTGTAGTAAAATTCAGCCAAAGACTGATCAAAGTTGTTTAATAACATAAAAACAAATCTATTTTGTAAAGATCGATAAAATAAAACATTTTTTACACTGTGGTATTAATATCCACAACTATTTTATCATTTTCACTAGATGCAAATGTGCTGAGACAATTATTATAGATGGTAGGCGACATCGTAAAGTCTATTGCCATACATTTTTCGCCAAACACCTCCATAAACACATTATAATCTGTATATATGTTAGACTTTAAGGTTTCTATCTATGGGCCTAAGTTCCCTGGCTATAAATTAATAAATAAATAAAATTATAAGGGGTGATACACTAAAAATCTAAAATATGCTTATCTTAAAAACAACAAAAATAATGAAGCTACTGAATATATGGCTATAGAACCTAAATCTCTTAGCTTTCTTTGGATAACGAGAGTTTAAAAATTCTCTCTAATCTGTGGCTTATTCACAATCATCACACAGTTTCACAGAGTACCTTATTATAACCGGAAATGACACCTGATTTTAAAAGTTACTCTTATGCATTAACTTTAAAAACAGGCAACTATCTGTTAATCTACATGCTCTATATACCTGAATTAAATCAATAATTTCGGTATTTGGCTTGATTTCCCTATTTTACTATATAACTTGTTTGTTTTTTATTATTTTAATATGTTCAGTGTATGTGGTTTATAGAAGTTCTTAGGGGTGCCCGTCAATAATATTCGTTTCTACAGTAATTTATATATAATTTCGAATCTAGGAAACAATTTTTCATGATTATTGGTCTTTAGGCCAAACATGTATGGAAGCTGAGCAATCTCCTTTATTATGGTAACACGAGTCGCATACTTTATAATAGTGTAAGTCTGGTATTATTATAAACTATGTACAAGGTTCAACTTTTAGTGTAGCTTTTCCATTGACAAAATGATTTCCCTTCTATTTTATTAATGGATTCCCCTACTAGCTATTCTTACTTTTTGGTTACATTTTATCTCTGTTGTGGGGCCTCCGGTGCTTGTGGAGGCACTAGTAATTCATGTCAATAAAGTTTTTATTCCCATAAGACATACCATACTGCTTGAACTTTATAGTAGGTATTATATTTATGAAACAGTAATTGTCTCATAATATAATACTTACTATAAAGTTCCCCGCTTTATAGTCTACCTACCAAGGGCGTATGTTACTCAATCTGTTCTAACAGCCCCGTTAAAAACACAACGAGGTAGTTGCTACTTGATCAACCCGTACCGTATGTACCATCAACCCGGGTTAACGACGGGGTCGGGGCTACCGGGATCGATAGAACAATTTTTCTAACAGTCCCATTAACGGGGCGGTACAGGGTGGATGGTACCGACTCCAATCCGCATGGTCGGTGCGTTGATCGCAGTTTTTTCGCCCCACCCTCTTGATTGCAGTTTGCGTGGAACCACTTTTCGTATTTCATATTATTTCTAATTCGTTGCTGTGGTAGCAATACTCGAACACGCGTCTTCCACTGTCCGGGCGGATGCACTAACCGCTGGAATACTTCAGCATTATTAAAATGACGTAGGTTTGCGGCTCCAAGCATAATGATGGATTATTATTTATTCCGATTTGAATTTTGATGTTATAAGTTATGACTAGAAGATTCGCATTGAATCCATATCAATCATCCTTATCAATTTTCCTTTTCGTTCATAATTAGATGCCTTTACTTTTGTCCTTGGAAGGATGCAACTCACTTTCACTAACACGTGCGGGATATATCTACATCTATTGTAAATGTTTCTTTTATATAGTGAGAGAATAGGCGCTTTCTTGGTGGTGGCAGTGTGTTGATATAGGTGCCCGTGAGCATAAAATATTAAGGTGACAGTTTTATAATCCATAAAACAGGTACAAAGTTTATAATTTGATTTTTTGACAAAAAGCCTTTGGGCAAACGCAGACATCATTTAAAATTGTACAACTGATTCTAGGTTAAAATGGCAGTGAGATTGATATTTTTACTTTCGATTTAAGACTGAGAAAGTTTCAAATATAAGAAAGGATATTACTTCCATGGTATTTTTTAAATTCTAGTACCTACTACTTATTAAATATATTAATCGTAACCAAATATCAAGGTTCCAATTTTAGGGAGGCAAATTAAAGTTTAGGGCTAACAGGTCTATTCATCTTTGCAAACAAATATTGGGTACGTTAAAAGCACACATTTTAAAACTGTTTATTTATTGTAATATTAATAAAAAAAACTATCTTTTGTGATATTTACTGATCTTTTGTAATGTTGATCTGATAATAAATACAAGAACTGAACTGCATTTTCTCTTTTTTATAACCTTTGGGATTGCATACATTCATCTCCTGTCTGCTGTTTTTTTTATAAAGGTATCGCTAATATAAAATAAAAACAATATGGTAATTCATTACATTTTAATAGTACATTAACTATCAGGTAGAAAGATATCACAGTCGATTCAAAAATTACGATATGCAATATTTTTCATGTATTTACAATTAAATAAAATTTTAGGGTAAGGCGCAATACATAATCTTTTGGTATGTTTGTGTTAAAGGCGGAAGCGGAATGGCTCGGGCTTGACCGTGTGCCAACAAGGCTGCTCATGGGAGATTCATCTGAAAAGCAAAAAGGTGAATTTAATATATTGAATTAATAAATGCAAACACTCAAACTTCAAGATTGAACTTTGAATTTAGGTTTGAGTGAACACTGAAAAAAGGCAATAAATGATTAGATCTTCAGCTCCATCTGTAACAGACAAAGAAAACATGTGAAATTAATTAATATTCTTCTTTTTCAGATTAATACTTGAGAAGTATGGCAAAATCCTGCAATAGTTTTATTTATTTGGATGGAAACCTTTCAACCTATATTTTCATTGACAACATTTACTTCGTGTAATATTTATTTAATATGAATAAATATAATATATGTAATAGTTTTTTTTTATAAATAAAAAGCCTCCCTTTTTCCTATTCTTTTTTTTTATTCAAAATTTTATTAACTCTTACTATGTTAGAAACTTATACAATCATACATTAATATTTAAATTTATTAAAAACCTAATGTCCCAAGGTCCCGAATCACACCACTTAACTAACAGTATCACAAGTTTGTTTATTTGCACTATGTAATTAGGTATCATGGACACTGCAATAACTGAAACATCGTGCCGCCATGAATGTTCCAATATAGGGTCTCCAATAGATCTTCTATTTTCTGGTCCGTATTCTTGATCTCGTTTGTCTCAGGTTTGATCTTATTGATACTTTGTACTTCTGTAGATGACAAACATCTCGAATTAGAAATTTTGTTTTTTACCAATTTAATGTGATCAATTTTATCATGAATGTAGGTAGTATTCAATAATTGATTAGATCATATGGACCATGAGACAACGAGATATATCTGGGTTGTTGTGGGTTGGACGAAGTAAACGGGGATTGTAGTTTGTTGTCGACGGCACCATACCCTCTGAAATAAAGTCGAACTTCATCACACTGGGGCTTAGGCGTCATAGTAGGAAGCCCCCTCTAGAAGTTTTGTTGCCGTTCCAATATTCTTAACCATGAAGATGCAACGCATACAATGAATGTTAGTGATGAAGTTCCACAATGTCTTCCGAACTTAAAAATAGTTTTCGTATAAATGCCGTACTGATTGATGAAATACAACGCAAACCCAAACAAGAGTAGGTTGTAGGTACTTTATTCCACACGTAAACAAAGAATAAGTTTGATTTAAATTATGTTGTGTTCGGATCACATCACGCAAATTAAAAATTGTAATTAGAATAAACCAAATAATAAAATAAAAAGGCAATACCCTGTCCCTCAGTTCACACGCACATCAAAACATGGCCACGTTATTTGAAACATAGTTAACGCAGCCTAACAATAGTCAAATTTTACTATAGATGAAAGAAAGCGACCTAAGTACATCACTGATCCAAAGTTATTCT